GGAATGCCAACAGCAAATGGTAGTATTTCTCCTGGGTTAAGGTTTGGCAAAGCTGAAGTGAAAGAAGGGCACAATGACCTAAGGTTCTGGCTTTAGAAATTGAAATGGATTCTCACGAGGTCAGTCTGGTGAGATAAATAAGCATGCAGACAAATGAAAGAAGACAAGAGAGAAGGGAGCAGAACCAAAGAGACAGGGAGAAAAAAGTGGGAACCAGGATGGTGGATGTGCCCCTCTCGTGTCCTCAGAAGAGCTTCTTCTGGTGACACAACAGAGAGAGCTCAGCTTGCACCCCAGGGTGCTCTGAGCTGGGCTCAAACGTTGTGAGCACAAAGGCTGATCTAATGGGGCAGCCAAGTGCAAGGGCAACAACAGAGTCTCCTGTGCGGGCATTTATCCCCAAAGAATAGTATTCCATCTAGATGAACGTGAACCAGAACTCAGTTATGCAGGGCCTTGGGAGTCTGCACTCAGGGGAAGCAAGCTGTTCCCAGCTTATCCCTTAGATGCATGTCCATGTGAGAAAGAAAGTACGAGAAACAGGTTTCTCTAAAACACCAAGGCTGCTTAAGAGCTTCTTAACACAAAGATGGGCATTTTACTCTCCACATCTCCACAAGACATCTCTGAGCTTTGACACCATGGGAGCGCTAGCGCTCTGGTGACAGTGCTTGGTGGGGACCATGACACCCAGTGGAGCAGAGGTACACCCAGTACTAGAGGATTTATTCATGAACACGGGTCCTACACTACCAGTGGGCCCAGAGAAACCTTGCAGAGGGGGCCTGGAGGTGGCGCTCTGTCCCTCCGTCAGTGACTGGGAAAGGCCAGTGAATTCTGGCTTCTCACCATCTCCGTAGAGGCAGAAGCCAAGATTTTAGGCTCTGGAATTAGACTGATTGGCTCTGTGACTTATAAGCTCTGTAACCTGGATCACGTTATTTAACTCTTTGAGCTTGCTTCCTCAGGTACACTTACCTTTTTGGGTCGACGTAGTAAATGAGGAATTTCACGTACACCTTTAACATGTGGCGCGGTCAGACCACGCACGCGACTCCCTCTGCCTGAAGGTGCGTCCTCCTTACTTCCTGCTGTTACTCATCTTAAGTTTAAATGTCATTTTTTTCAGAGGCGTCATCCCTGAGCTCCTGTAGCAGACTCTGGATTGGCTACCCCGCAGCCACTGCCACCTTCTCCCTTTTGTTTAAGTATCGACTCTTCAAAGAATGCAATCCTGAAAAATTCAAGGGCAAATCCTGAAGAGCCTTGACCAATTACAGTAATCCTCAACTCCCCGCCTCCGCCGCCCTCCTTCCCAGCATTTAGACATGCGTGGGTATGTGACTTAGTTTGGACTGATGATGGGTGAGAAGTCTGCTAGAAGCTTCTGAGAAAGATTTCCCCACTCTGGAAAAAGGACATACTCTGCTACCGTGGGGCATTGTCGGGATTGTCTGTCCTAGAGGGAGCTGCTCTGCCTTCCTGGGACCGCGGGTGGGGCAGACCCAGTACCATGCTGGCATGCTGGAGATGGCAGGGGGAATAACGGAACCGGCCCTGGGCCTTCCCTGACAGCACTGAGCTGCTGAATTTACTAGATAGAGCCTCTTGACCTTGGGACTTCTTGCCATATGATACAATAAATTTCCTTATCATTGAAGACATTTGAAATTGGGTTACTTATTAATTGTAGCCTCCCTCATCTAAATTATGACACCATCATTTTTGCTCTCATATCATGTTTTCCTTCATAGCATTTATCACATATATAGTTACTTTTGTGTTTAGTTGATTGATGTCTGTTTCCCCCAACGGATTCTAAAGTGTTGACTTTGCTCACCATTAAATTCCCAGATTTTAGCACCGAGCCTAAGGCATAGAAGCTGCTCAAGCACATTTGTGGGAAGAATGAATAAAGAGCTCAAACATGGTCCCTTTTCTTCTCTTTCTCACCCTCCTCCTTGTTCTCTATAACTCTGCACTGTTGACAGAGCACAGGATCCCTAGGAAGGAACCTAAGTTCTCCCTCAAACTCTGACTCTGGGCAGCAGCCTGCACTACATCAGTGCCTTTCGAGTTTTGCCTCAAGGAACAGTAAGAAAATACATATTACACGGTTGACCAGTACACACACATTTACATATTTAACCGAAGAGAAAGTTTTATAGAGCACATTTACTTGTACTATGTGTAAATGTCTCTGATATTTTTATCCTATTCTATTTCATTAAAAAAATGCAAGTTCTGGCCCAATACATCAATTTTTGGACCCATTAATTAGTTACCCACAGCACCACCTCCAGGTACTAAATTAAATGTAAGGACTTTGAAAATCTCTGATTTTCTCTTTTTTTTGTTAACTGTCCATAAGGCCATTGACTTAAATGTCCATTATTACAGTGACTTAACAACGACTTAATTATTTTCCCTTTTCCTGTGGAATTCTTCTCCATCCCCATCTCCTCTAGTTGGGCTATTTCGAAGGCCTGCGTAAAATGGAAAGACTCTCTCATGTGTTCATGAAAAAGTACTTTGTACTTTTGCCGATTTTTTTCCAGTTAGCACACACACACAAAAACCAGGACTACATTTTCCCTTCTTTGAAATTTAATGGCCCTATTCAACATATTTTACGTGGGCCTAACTTCTATGTAAGTTTATATATGTACTAGTGTAGACCGGCGTTACATGAGTCCCACTGCCACCCTGTGGTTTAAAACCCAAGGGAGCTGGGTTCTAACATTCTCTAGAGGCACAGTGAATAGACCCTCACTGTAGTTCCCATTCCTCCGCACAGAAACTGCCCTTGTCTTCCGAGGATTTACCAGTGAAATTCCTCTGGAGGCAGGAGAAAAGGGGACAAGCCACACGGAGATCTTACAACTCCAGGGCACAGCAAATAGTGCGGTGGAGTGTATATATATTTAGAAAACCATAATGCGAGCCTCAGGAAAAAACATGTAATCAAAAGGCGACGGGGAGAGGATTACCAGCTTGGGTGATCAAGAAAGCTCCCTGCCAGAGGACCTACAGATTCCGAAGGTCCCTTGAAACTCGGTTCAAACCACTGACCCCAGCATCATGTGAACTGGCAAACTCGATGCAAGTTATGGCTCCAGAGTCCGGGAAGAGCGCGTCGCCAAGCTGCTCCAGGGTCACATGTCTTCTAGAAGGGGACCGGTGTGACTGAGGAGAGCACGTCCGGGGTACGTGCGCCTGTTTGCGCTCTGGGAGTGAAGGCGAGGTGGGAGAGAGCCTGCAGTGAAAACGGACCTGGGGGCGGGGGCGGGGGGAGAGAAGGAGGGGAAGGAAAGGACGAACACCTCCCTGAACTTTCCTCTAGCCTCGTCCCACACACTTGAAATAGAAACAATAACATGAAAAAAAAAAAAAAATGCTTACAACCACGACGCTATCTCCCTACTTAAGTTGTCTCACACTGGGCGATGCTGTCGCCGCTAGCGTGTCTCGGGAGTAAAGGCTGGGGCCGGTGTGGGTGCGCGGGCGGGTGACCCCACCTTTAGGGAAGCCGGCTCCCTGTTCTTCCACGCCATCGCCCCTACTGACCCCCGCCCCCTCCCTTTCGTCCTCGCCTCTCCTCCCTCCTTCCCCCCTCCCTCCCTGCCTCTCTCCCTCTCTCCCAGCGCGTCTCCTCTGCACCGGCCCCCGCGGAGGAGCCAGGCGGCAGCACCAGAGTCGCCGCAGCCTCTGCGCGCAACGCCCTCGCCCGTGCCCCCCGGTCCCACGTAGCCCGAGCGGCGGCGCCAGCAGCCCCGGGCCCGCGCTACGCGCCCCGCGCCCGGCCTGGCTAAACTGACCTGCGCCCGGCTGGGGCGCCGCGGGAGGCTGGGGAGGGAGGGCGGCGAGAAGGCGGACACGGAGACGCAGGGGCGGCGGCACCGAGGGGACGAGCTGCGCACCTGGAAAGTTACCGGCTGTCTGGTGAGGCTCGCGGGCTGGGGGCTCGGGCAAAGAGGGGCGCCGGGGGGCCGCGGCCGGGGGCCGCGCGGGTGTCGGCTGGGCGTGCGGTGCGTGCGGTGCGCCTCCGTTCCACACCCAGCCGCTCTCGTGCCTGTACTGCTGGCGTGTGGACGTGTGCACGCGGTGCGTTCGCTCGGGGTGGCAGCCAGCAGGGAGCTCCGGGAGGCAGGGGGAGGCTACTGGATTTCCAGAAGCTCGGCTCGGGGCGGGAGGGCGAGCTCAGCCCGGTTGGGGAGACGTCAGGTTCTCATTCCTTTAGCCCCGGCGGCCAGGGAGACTGCTGCTCCGGGCTAGGGGCTTGGCAGTGCTCTCAGGGCGTGCGCTCCCGGCTTCGCTTCGCCGAGCTACGGGGAGCTGCTAGGGGACGAAGACTTGGGCGAGGACTTGTAAACTTGTGTGGGTGTACTGTGTCACTCTCGGCACCGTGAGGCGCTTTCACATTTCTCGCTCTGTTTTTCCTGGTGAAAAAGCAAGAGTAAACAAACAAACAAAAGCCAATCCGTCACTTTGGGGATGAGAGAAAAAGCAAGGGGTTCAAGTTTGAGAAGAACTAGGGTACGGATGCATAGCAGTTGAGACCCTGCAAAGGCACAGCGCAGGCAGAATGAACAGGTAGAAAGGATGAAGCTCTGGTCTTCATCTCGTCGCTGCAGTTCCCAGGGCCTTCTCTATAAAGGAAGAGAGCAACAGACACCTGCCTGCTCTCCCCACCCCGAGCAGTGCCTTAGAAATTGTTCTCTTTTCTTTGCAAGTTTCCATTTAACTCTTGGAGAAGACGATTACCTACATAACACACAGTAGGTGTTGCCAGTACTACTGTTCAGTTTTACGCAGGAGGGTAGGCGCTAATATGGTGGAGAATTATCTTTGGAGAATTAGAGGCCATCTTCTCCATTGGAACATTGTGTAACTAAGAATAAAACGACATAAAAAGATGGTACACAGAGATCTTTCTCTTTTACCTGAACAGCTCCATTTCAGTCCTCTGAAATCCTTACAAGTGAGGGCTAATTCACCTCACAGTGAAGGCGTATGTTGCCTGGATGCTGCCCAACTCCTTTGAGCCCATATTGCCTTGCTTCCTCTAGGCTATTTTCCTATCAATTATCCCCTCTTCTCCTATGTTTTCATTTTCTCTGTATTCACTGATTCATTATTTGGGGCTTACAAATACTCTCAAGTTTTCACTATTCTAAAAATCCACTGCATGAACCATGGTACCATGTTGAAGTCTCTGCTCTCAGTGTCAGCTCTTCTCACCGTCCTTTGTAATCCGGTTTCTATCCGAACTCTTCTGTGAAAGGCTAAATTCAGTATATTTCCCTCATGTGCTTTGGTATGTCTCCGGGATGTGAACTGCAGCTTGCTCACCTCTTGAAAATCTTGTCTTTATGGCTTCCAGTGTACTTCTAGATCTCTTATTGTACAACTGTTCCTTCTCTGCTTTTGTTATTTGCATCTCCTCCCCCTCTGCTCCTATAAATAATATCCACAGGTACCATCTAAATGTACATACGTAACCATAGACGCATTCCTTTCTTTTTTTCCCTCAGTGATCTCATCTACTAGTGGGACTTTAGTTCTTACCTATGAAGTGTTCACTTGCCTTGACCTTTCTTCTTTGCTACCATGTGTTAGACATTTCCACCTTGATGACTCAGAGGCACCTCAAACTCAACAAATATAAATCCAGATTCATCACTTTTTCCATAAAACTTGCTTAATCTCTTGACTGTGGTCAGTGTCACAGTGCCTAACCCAATGATGGTGCTCTATTCATTTTTAATGAATGAATGAGTTCATAGTACTGCCTTCCTTCCTCCCTGCCTGCCAAGATCAAAACATTGGAATCTTTTTTGACTCCCCTTTCGTGTGCACCCATTTAATTACCACATTTAGAGATTCTGCCTCTGCAGTATTACTCCCACCATCTTGTCGTATACAGTGAATCCCTCCACATCCTTTCTCTAACACGATAGCTTCTTTTTAGCATCTCTAGTTTTTCTCTCAAACTTCATATAGACCTAAACACTTTTCTTCTCTTCATTGCCAATCTAATGGGCACTTTTATCTACGTCTTCAGCTTCAACCTTTACCTATGATTGCTAGGTATTTTCAGCTCCCCCTTTTTGATTTTCTAGTCCCTTGTTTCTTACTGCCTACTGAACTTCTTGACCTTAAACTTTCCACAGTTTCCTCAAACTGTCCAAAATTAAACTCACTGTCATATCCCTCAAATCTGCTCCTCAGTTTGGTTAATGACAACTTCTCGTACCCAGTTGCCGCAATGGAAACTTCCAGATCTGTATCTTTCTTCTTAACATCACTCAAATTCCATCAGCTACCATCTCTGGACCTACACCTGTATAATTACATTTCTGTGTGTTTGCCTCCTTATCTGCTACTATGGCACCCCAAAATAGCTGAATGGAATGCCACTACATTTGGCAGTGAACATATGGGATATGTGGCATTTATAAGACTCACTGTAAACATTCTGCAGGGTGTGTGTGTTAGGGCGCCATTACAAGGAGATAGCCCAGGAGTAACTGAAACTTTGGTACAATAAAAGCTCCTATGACTGCCTGACAAGAGAAAATTACTCCACACATTAAAATGCCATAGACAGAGAAAACAAGCAGTAGATTCAAAACTGAGCCCAAGGTCAACAGTCACAAGGTCAGATGGACAGACGCTTTTAATTGTAGAATCAATATGAAATTGAGCTGTTTCTCACAAGGACAGCTCTTTGTGGTTGCTTCAGGGAGGAGCAGCAGGGGTTTATGTACACAATGATGGTTAATTATTTTCTAAAAGACATTTGGTGAGACAAAGTTAAGAGTAACACCAGATGCATCGGTTTCATAGGTACTTAGAAAACTATCTGGAGAAGGCTGTGTCATTCATTTGTCTTCAGGCTAACCTGCCCATATCATGAAAAAGAATCTATTCTACTTTTCATGATTTATTGAAGGGAAGGAAATTGCAGAGTTGCCTATAGCCATAGCTTTTGCCAGATGCCCTATGATATTGTTTTTTCTTTTTTGGCTACCATGGAGATGGTTCATTTTTTCTTGAGTTCAAGATATTAGAATAGGGTTGGGACGCTTTCTGATGTTAACCCTGTTCTCATCCTGTCTTACTTGGATTGGTGCAGTAGCCTCTTATAGCCTCTTATTTTGTCTTTCTTCCTCTAAGCTCTTTTGACTCCATTCCATATTTATTGCCAAAAAAAGTTGTTTATTTTTCTAAAGGACAGATCTGACCATATAACTTGAAAACAACTTGACCTACACTAAAATCCAGATACCGTAAATGGCAAATGAAATTTTTCAGTATCTCATTCTAGTATCTTACTTTTTTAGCTTCACTTCTCATCACTGTCCTTCACCCATCATGCATTTCAGCCTGTTCCTTAAATATGCCATCAGCTTTCTTGCGTTCACTCCTAGGACATGTTTTGTTTTGTTTTTAATTAATAGAATTTCTTTTTTTGAGCAGTTTTAGGTTTACAGAAAAATAAGGTGAAAACTATGGAGAGGTTCCATAGTCTCCCCTTCCCTTCCCTATTCTTAACATCTTGCATCAATGTGATACATTGATGGGCCAGTATGGAAAAATTATTAACTGAAGTCCATAGCTTACATTAGAGATCACTTTTTTTGTTGTTCAGTTCTATGGGCTTGGACAAATATATAATGACATGTATCCACCATAACAGTATCATACAACATAGTTTCACTGCCCCCAAATTCCCCTGTACTCCACCTATTCATTCCTTTCTCCCTCTCCCCAATCTCCTGGAGACCACTAACCTTTTTACTGTCTCCCAAGTTTTGTCTTTTCCAGAATGTCATATAGTTGGAATCACAAAGGATGTAGGTTTTACAGATTGGCTTCTTTCACTTTGCAATATACATTTAAAGTTCCTCCATGTCTTTTCAGGGCTTGATAGTTATTACTTTTCATCACCAAATAGTATTCCATTGTCTGGATGTGTCACAGTTTGTTTATCCAGCCATCCACTGAAGGATGTCTTAGTTGCTTCCAAGCTTTGGCAATTATGAGTAAAACTGCTGTAAACCTCTGTGCGGGCCTGTGTTTTCATATCAGTTGGATAAATACCAAGGAGCATGGTATCTCATTGTTTTAATTTGAGATTCTCTAATGACATAGGATATTAAGCATCATTTCATATCCTTATATGCCATGTGTGTTTCTTTTCGGTGAGGTGGTTGTTTAGATCTTTTGCCCATTTTGCAGCTGGATTGTTCTTTTCCTTGTTGTTGAATATTAAAGAGTTCCTTGTATATTTTGGATAGTAGTCCTTGATTAGATATGTGTTTTGCAAATTCTTTCTTCCAGTCTGTGTCTTGTTGTTTCATTTTCTTAACAGTGTCTTTTACAGAGCAGAAGTTTTTAGTTTTATTGAAGTCCGACTTATCGATTTTTCCCTTCATGGATTGTGCTTTCAGTGTTTTATCTCAAAAGTCATCACCAAACTCAAGATCACTTCCATTTTTTCCTACATTGTCTACTAGCAGTTTTATAGTTTGTGTTTTACATTTAGGACCTTGATTCATTTTGAATTAATTTTTGTGAAAGATGTAAAGTCTGTTTCTAGATGCTTTTTTTTTTTTTTTTGCATATGGATTCCCAGTTGTTCCAATACAATTTGTTCCAAAGGTTATCTTTTCCCCATTGAATTGTCTTTGCTCCTTTGTAAAAGATCAATTGACTCAATTTTTGTCTGTTTTTGGTCTCTCTATTCTGTACCATCGATCTATTTGTCTATTCTTTCACCAATAACACGTTTTCCTGATTGTTGAAGCTTTATGGTAAGTCTTGAAGTCTGGTAGTATCAGCGTTCTAACTTTGTTCTCCTATAATGTCCTGTTACTTTAGTACCTATTTTTTGATCAGTAAGTTTTTCCACTAAAATGAGTTGTTTTATTGGCTAAATAATGTTACCAGTAATAACAATAGTATTTAATATTTATTGAACACATACTATACGTCAAGCCCTGTGCTAAATGCTTACCATGGTTTATCTCATTTAACCCTCTAACAATTCTAAATGATATGCAACATTATTTTATTTATATGTCAATCTATCTATGTGTCTATCCACCTCTTCTATTATTCACATTCACGCCCAATGTCAAGGCCTAGGGCTTATAAATACTAAGTGAAAGTGTTTGGATTGGGACTCTGGCTCTATAACATTAGCCAGCACTATACCATCTCTTGTATTTATAGATATATATATATCAGAATCCAGACGGATAGAGAGAAAAATAGATACTATCGAGATCAGAGCCAAGATTTTGGTTTCAAACTACTTTAGAGCTGGAGGAAAAACAGACAACAAAGGCTAATTCCTCCCACATTGGCTGTCAGATGTTAGTCTGCCTGCAAGAGCGTCCGCAGTCGGTTTTGCTTTTCCTGTGTCTTTTCTAGTTACCTCTTGTATATGACATTTCCTAAATCATGATTAAATTAATGTAATAATAATTTATAACTTTATACAATTTTCCTCTCTTTTGCTAGATGCCACTGCTCATTGTACTCCTCGCTCCTGTCCCTGGCTGCCGAAGAATATCCCCTTCAAAGTGAACCATGTTTTTTGTTGCCTTTGAAGATAATTAGGTGGGCCCTTTTGGTTTAAGGATTTCAGTGTAATATGTGTAAATAGATAGAGGCTACATGAGGGAATTACAAAGGAGGAGTCCTTGCAGTCCTGGAACCTGGTCTGGGTTACTTATGAAACTTTCTGGTCTTCATCTTTTGGTGGGGTTTCGCTTAACTGGGAGAGTTTCCAGGTTGTTTGTTCCAGAATGACTTTTTGTCTTAATGAAGACAGAGTAAGGATACCCCTCTCCCCTGCCCCCAATAATTTTCATCTTTAAAGACCTCTTGTCCGGAAGGCATCCAGTCTACTAGACTTCTTCCCCACCCACCCAGTAATGATGCCGTCTGGGCATTTCCTCATACCAAGTCACTTAGTGCCTGGCTAGTCACATACTATAAACGCTACTTGGTGTGTACTACATGCCTGACAATGCACAGGATACCTTACAAACATAATCTTCATAATAAATCTATGAGATGGGCATAATTATATCCACTTTCTAGATTAGAAAACCGAGGATTCTAAGTAATTTATAGAAGGTTACACAGCTGGGAAAAGGCAGATTGTTTTTCTACCCTGGCTGGCTTGACTTCATTGCTTATGTCAAATCCTAATCTTCGTCTCCATGTTCATTTCTTATTACTTCACTATACTTTGAAAACAAACAAACAAACTCATAGAAAAAGAGGTCAGATTTGTGGTTACCAGAGGTGGTGGTGGTAGGGGAGATTGGATACAGGCAGCCAAAAGGTACAGATGTCCAGTTATAAGATAAATATTAGGGATGTCAAGTACAATATGATAACATATAATTAACACTGCTGTGTGTTATATATGAAAGCTGTTAAGAGAGTAAATCCTGAGCTCTCATCACAAGGAACAATTTTTTTTCTATTTCTTAAATTTTGTATCTATATGAGATGGTGAACGTTCACTAAACTTGTGGTAATCGTTTCATGATGTGTATACATCAAATTATTTTGCTGTACACCTTAAACTTATACAGTGCTATATGTCAATTATATTTCAATAAAACTGGAAGGAAAAATATCCTGATCTTTATCTCCAAGCTCATTTCTTATTACTTTGCATGCTGTTCTCTGATTACAAGAATGATTGTAAGAACCTATAGTTGCTAGATTGATGGAACAAAATCCCGTGGTTCAGTTGTGACTGGCAATACATATTTGAGAAATAGCTTGTCTCTCTTAGTGACTGATGCAGACAAGAAACAGAGGGAGTCTAATTAGGTTTTATGAAGCCAGACACTTGAGGGACACCAGAATTGAAAGGGGTGAACTAAGTAAGAAATCAGACTTAGTATTGAGTCATTCAGTAGTCCTTACATATCTTAAATTAGTGGCTTGAAAGATGGGTTAGTTACTCTCATTTCACCCCTCTTCAGAATTCTAAATAGCTCGAAAGATTTATTCAGCTTCCAAACTGACTTCATTAAAGCCAGAGAATAGCTGGTGTTTTGGGAGAATTTAACCACCTCTGCCTAATTGTGTTTCAGGTTTGTAAAATTATTGGATTGGTACAGAATGTTTTGACTACCATACATAGAGCAAAAATAATTCTAAGCCTTTTCATATTTAGAATGCTAGAACTCTTCTCTGTGTCGAATTTGACTGCAAATTCATGGAGCTATGCCCTTGGTATAGTACATGACACTTAGTTTGGTCTTAGTAAACAATTGTTCTATGAATAAAGAATGAGTTGTTAGTTTAATATTAGATTTTAAAATGTTTGTGCTTACTTTTGTTCTTTATAAGGCAATTTCTTTTCTTCCACCCATTCCCCTCCCTCTATCCTGCCTTGGATTAGGAATGCTTGTCCATGAACCAAAAAAGCACATCTAGGAGATGTCTCATTGCTTCATGTTAAAAACTTGTGCGCACATTAATTTAAGATCCCTTTGGGGGTACCCTTCTCATGCCTGTCATTCAGAATCTCATTCAAGTTTATTCTCAGGTCCCAATCTAACGTCTTCTGAATTGCTTATTCAGGTTACCACGGTGTCCTGGGCCATTTCTTTGAATTCTAGTCTCCTTAACCTTTTTATATATTCCTAATATATAAGAATAGTAAATGCTGCCGAGTCAACAGAAACTTAAAGGTTAAACCTGCCACATCTCTGCAACATATTACGGCAGTTCCCTGGAGGCTAATGTTTATTAACGATTACTTCTATGAAGAATATCTGGGTATTGCAAGATTACTTTTATAAGTGCATTTATTTTCTGTTTCTACCATCCGTCTTAGGTGACCTGCATTGACTATTTGGTTGCATCAGTTTGAAACTTAGAGGCTGTTTATGTCTCTGTCTTGGTTGTAAAGGTTCATGATGATTCCGGTAGAGCTAGTGAAATCAGTCTAAGCTTTTATTTCTCTCAGAGTTTGAAATTTGGGGAGAGAGAGGGCCAAGAATGTGTGAGATTTATAACTTCAAACTTCCATCTATCTCTTATCAGATAATAAGCGGTCATTCAAACTTAGTTTACAAGTTTCTTGGGTTATGGCTGTCAAAAATTACACGTGCAAAGGTATGAAATTTAAGCAGCTAGCTTAAAAAGACTTAAACCTTATGATAATTAGTCAAAGCAGTATTTTCCAAACTTCAGCCTTTCAAGATCTTTTTGATTTTGCTCGTATGTGCTTATTAACTGCTGATGATTTCTTTTCTATTTTCACTGAATTGACTCAGTAAATCTAACTATCTTACTGAACCTCAAAATTTTGTGGTGCCAATTATTTATATTTCTAATGAATGTTAAAATAAATACATAGCTATTGAACTAAAAAACATTTTTAAAAAATAAATTTTATTATTTATTTATTTATTTATTTTTGGCTGCATTGGGTCTTTGTTGCTGCGTGCGGGCTTTCTCTAGTTGCAGCGAGCAGGGGCCACTCTTCATTGCGGTGCGCGGGCTTCTCAGTGCGGTGGCTTCTCTTGTTGCGGAGCACGGGCTCTAGGCGCGTGGGCTTCAGTAGTTGTGGCTCGCGGGCTGTAGAGCACAGGCTCAGTAGCTGTGGCGCACGGGCTTAGTTGCTCCGCGGCATGTGGGATCTTCCCGGACCAGGGCTGGAACCTGTGTCCCCTGCATTGGCAGGCAGATTCTTTTTTTTTTTTTGCATTATGCGGGCCTCTCACTGCTGTGGCCTCTCCCGTTGCGGAGCACAGGCTCCGGACGTGCAGGCTCAGCGGCCATGGCTCACGGGCCCAGCCGCTCCGCGGCACGTGGGATCCTCCTGGACCGGGGCACGAACCTGTGTCCCCTGCATCGTCAGGCGAACTCTCAACCACTGCGTCACCAGGGAAGCCCTGGCAGTCAGATTCTCAACCACTGCGCCAGGGAAATCCCTAAAAAACATTTTTGAATCAACTAAAATCATGCCTCATAATCCCCCGTCTGCCTGTTACATCCTGAGACTCACTGGATTCGGAACTACTTTGGGGCCTACACTGAGGATATTCTTTACCGGAAAATAATAGAGCATTGTACCATAGGTTGTCATTTTGTGGACAATCTTGGCTTTAGGATATAAAGTAAAGGATGTAGAAGAACCCCCATGCCTCTGTTTTACCTTCTGGTAACTGCCATCCAGACGTTTGCAACAGCGAGCGTTGTCAGAAAAGCCAAACTTAATAGGCACACACAGCTGGAGAAAAGTGCTAATACAGCAACACCAACTGTGCCTCCTCCGCCCGAATTGCAGATGTGTTATTTTCTAAACCAGGGGGAGGTTTCTTAGTGTAGCCACTCCAGGAGCTGTGAGAGTTGTGACATTAACAAGCCTCTGCTGCGGTAGCTGCAGCTGCTCGTTGGTGTTTTATCTTTGCCATGCTGACATCCGAATCGCAGTTTTGTTGTGATGCTTTTGACAGCTGTCCGGAGAGAACGACCAAAGAGAAGAGCAGGTAACGCAGGCCGTTTGTGCAAAATGCTTATTAGGTGGGATGCTTGGGCCAGCAAAGGGATGGGGAAGAACGAAACCAAGTGCCAGCTCCTCCTCATTGAGGGACAAAGGGAATCAATCCGTAGCTTTTCTTCTGGAAGCGTGGGGGAATTTATTGCTTACCAAACAGCGATGAGCGCTGTGTTTCTCTTTATGAAACAGAGCGGATTGAGAGGGGTGGCGGTGGCGGTTGGGAAGTGAAACTCCACTAGGGAATCCCCAATTCTCTGCCCTCTCTCAGGTCCTTGAGCAAAATGGGAAATGGTTCCATGAAACCCAAACATTCCAAGAATCCAGATGGCCACTCCGGGAACCTCACTACCAGTGCCCTCCGGAGCAAGGTGACAGAGCTGGAGAGAGAGCTGAGGAGGAAGGATGCCGAGATCCAGGAGCGGGAGTACCATTTGAAGGAGCTACGGGAGCAGCTGTCCAAGCAGACTGTGGCCATTGCAGAGCTCACGGAGGAGCTCCAGAACAAGTGCATCCAGCTGAACAAGCTTCAGGATGTGGTACACGTGCAGGGAGGAAGCCCGTGTCAGGCGTCTCCGGATAAAGTGCCTCTTGAGGTCCACCGCAAGACCTCGGGATTGGTCTCCCTCCATAGCAGGAGGGGAGCGAAGGCTGGTGTGTCTGCTGAGCCCACCACCCGAACCTATGACCTCAACAAACCCCCTGAATTTTCCTTTGAGAAAGCGAGAGTCAGAAAGGACTCCAGGTAAGTTCCCACCCGCTTTTGGACTCAGGTGGCCTTAAATATTATGAAACATTAGAACGCTATTATTGAGTCTCCTCAATGGAGAAGCGCATATTAACCCTTTCAGATTTGGGGATAGAGGGGCTTCTGAAAGGGTTTTGTTTTGCAACAGGGTCTCCCTTTAAGTAGAACTTCTCTTTAAAGCAGGACTCCTGCTTTACCTGGACTTTGATTTGTGATTTGCATAACTGAGGAACTGAGTTTACAAAAGTCATTTCTGTTATCTTGAAAACCCTAGGGGAGTGCAGAGGTGGTTGTAGGAAGTCTGCCCATCTCTCTTCCAAAGAAGTAGACTTAACGGGTGTACACAAATCACGCTGAATTATGAATACGTGTAGCAAAAGCCACTTCTTAGCACTTAGTCTGCAAGTGTCATGAAAAAGGGATAAGCTGATGCCTCTGAGGGGGGTGCATTCATTCATTCATCCCACAGTTTAGTTAAGCACTGCCTCGTCCCAGCCACTGTGTTAGATGCTAAGTATATATCAGTGAATAAATAGACACAGAGCATTTCCTGTGGGAAGATAGGATACACGGAAACAAGTAAACATTGTGTAATTATTAATTAAGATGAATGATATGATGAAACTGACAGTAGAGTGGGTGGTGTCTGGGATTAAGGGGGAGAGAAGGTCAAGGAGGAGACAGAATTGGGATTGTCATGAAGACCTGGTTGAGGAGGTGACCTTTAACTGAGACCCAAAGGAGAAAAAGGGGGATAGACCAGGTAGAAAGGGCACTTACTTCAGGCAGAGGGAACAATTAAAAGCTAGAATTAATTTTAAAAATAAGGATTTTTAAAAGAACATGTAAATATTTCCCACAGTATTCTTGTGTGTGTGTGTGTGTGTGTGTATGGGTACGTTTCTTTTCTGGCTCAAGTTTGAATTTGAGGAAAGATAACCAGGAAAGATCGATTAGAAACATTATGAGTTAGGGTCTCCTTTCTGCTCTATTTTTAAATGAGTAAATATTTATTAGTTGAAATTAGATCTTTTGCCTTGATAATGTCTTGGCTGAGCCTGGGTCCTTCTTGCAAAATCCAAGATTTGTGAAATTAAAACAACTTTAATTTATTCACACACATAAATAATATAAATCAAGATAAAACATCTGACTTAAATAAATGATTAATTTTGATAACAGGATTATAAAGGGAAGTTTAATTCATCAATTTGTTGACAGTGCTTGGCACATAGTGAATGAGCAATAAATGTTTGTTAAGGAAACAAGTCATGCCGGATTATAAACGCATAATACTCCGTGGTTGAAAGAATCTGATTGACGTTAGAGTTCAGAAGACTTTTTTTAAGCCAAGAGTCTATTTATTAGTTGGCTTAGAAAGGTCTTATCTATTCCCTCTGCAAAAATAATAATTATTTATTTTTAATGGTGTGAATTCAGAAATTATAAATGTTGCTTACAAACTTACGCTTGTTTTTCAAAAATTGAACATCATAGTGCTCTCTTTTGATGTATAAGAGATACATGCACATATAATAATTGTATTATGCATTCTGTCTATATACGTACTATACACATACATATGTTATACATACTATATTTGTATACATAAGACAATATATTATTTACCCACAAAAATTCTTTCAATAACAATGTGTTTATATATCTAGGAGAAGTGCGAGATAATTTAATAGTAATTCATCTTCTTTGACCCTCTTCCTACACATTCCACTAGATTTCTCCTCTTGAATGAAGATTATTTTCAATTATTTTTTCCAAAGACTTATGCCCGTCTTGAGGCAAAACGCTCTTCTCCTGGTGTTAGGTAACAGAACAATCCAAGATAAGTACATTCTACTGTATTTTTTATTAGCTCTATTATAATGAGGTAAAGGAAATCAATAGCTAAGCACAGTTAGTTTTTGGGCCAAACCACCTGTCTGTAGTGAGTGGGACACAGGAGAGGAAAGACATTATAGCCCTTAGAAGGATGGACGAATAAGGATGAGCAATGATTCCCCTCATCCATCATAAAGGCAGGCCCAGTGGGTACAAGTTTGTGTTGGGGATACGATGAAGAAATAGGATAACTGATTCCTTAATGATTAAATCCTAAAGAGACCAAATTAGATTATTTATGCCTTCATAATCCCTTTATGCTTTCATAGAGCTTTTTAGTTCTAAATTGAAAAATTAATTAGAATATGGGAACCACTCTTTTGTCATTGACTGATTTATGTCTTATTTCCCCTTGCAGACATTTGTACCTGAATTTTCCCTAC